AATTGTGGTTGCGGTTGGTTGTAGGAGTGCCGCATTCAGTTTGCATACCGGGTAAGGTATGCATACTGCAAAAAATGTTTAGTGTAGTAATGAGTCATTTTGAACACAGATTTTTGTATTGCTCTGTTTTTGTTTTTTTTGTCTTGGACATACAGTCTTAATAGAAACTTGTTTTTAAGTTGTTGCCCCTTATTTTGATTCTCAGTACATGCTGCTTCCCTTTTAAAATCATTACCACTTCCTGTCATGATCGCTCTTTCTCTGTTTGCTCTCTCTCTGTTAGCCCGTGGCTTGTGCTTTGACAAATTGTGTTTACAACCAATTAGTGTGATTTGCAATGTGCTTGTTTGCCGTCAGTGTGCAGTGAGAGTGAAGGAACTGTGGAAAACACTTGTTGATTTTGTTTCAATTCCTGAATTTCCCTCGAAAAACTTGGATTTCTACCAAATCTGTACTAGTTCTTGATGCATTATGTATACCTGTGTGCAACTGGGTTTTGAGTGAATATACTGGCCCGTTCGATCATTTACACAACATTCATTACTCCAGTGTTATCATTTACGGCAGAGTACCTTTAATGTCAGTGTGTTGTTTTCAGACTCTCAGGTGATTTGTAAAAATCTCTCTTTCATGAGCTCCACGTTCAGCGAATCATCACATAAGCAAATCTCTGTGAAAGCTCAAACAGGCACTTGTGATTTTCAGCAATTTTCCCAGTGGCGCCGCAGGCTTTCACAATGACACAGCAGAAAATGAGCCATCAGCCGCTCTGTTCTCCATTACTGATATTACTGGTTTTACCCCATTAATCAAATGAAGTATACCCTGCAACCGTACAGTCTCTTTGAAGAGCACGAGTGCAAAACAAGCTCAGCTTCACTGCGTTTTTATTCAAGCTCAGAATTGTGAGAAATAAAGTCAGAATTGTGAGACAAACTTTATGATTGAAGCGAGTTTATGATTTGCATTTCTGACTTGCTCCTCTTAGTTTATTTCTCACAATTCTGACATTTTTCATCGCAGTTGCAAGTTTACATCTTGCAATTCTGACTCTTATTCTCAGAAATGTGTGATATAAACTCAAAATTGCAAAAATGAAAGAATTGCGAGACAAACTAAAAGGTTTACAGTATATCTTGCAATTCTAACTTCTTTCTCTTAATTGCTAGTTTATATCTTGCAATTCTGACGTTTTTTTCTTTATCACAATTTTATTTCTTGCAATTTTGACTTTCTCGCAATTGTGAGTTTATATCTCGCAATTCTGACTTTTTTAAAATTGAGATATAAACTTGCAACTGTGAGTTATAAAATCTAAAAACTGTATATTTTCTTACAACTTTATATTGCACAGTTCTGACTTCATAACTCACAACTGCTTGTTTTAAAGTCAGAATTGCAAGATATCTCGCAATCTGACTTTATAACACACAATTGTGTTTATATCATGCCATTCTGAGAAAAAGAGTTGTCAGAATTGTAAGATAAAAATAGCAATTACCTTTTTATTTTTTTAATTAGTGACAGAAACAAGCTTCCATAGGTTTGAGAACGTCAAGACCAATCCATTTCAGATTTAAACAGTAAAACAAATTAAACTGAAAGGTTTGATTCATTTTCACAAATCAGTTCTTTCGAACCGTTTTTAAGGTAGTCACTTTGGTTTTTGAAATAAGATGCCGCAGCAGAGGCAGAAGCCCACACAGGCAAACCGAGCGACCGGACGGACGATGGATTGAAAAAGAGGTTGGTAAAGTGATTAGCATCCTTCCAGGGTGAGTGTTGCCTTGGCAACAAGAAATTAACCAGTAAACAGTGCCGGAACCACAAGCACGGACGTCCCAAATGGTATCAGCATCCATAGTTTTGTCATCAATCAATGGAGCCAATCATATCGCTCTCGGCAGGTTTCAAATGAACAGACTTCGAGATGAGAAGCAGAAAAGGACACAGAAGTCCCAAGGATCTCGTCTCAAGGTGAATGCGGGACAATCAATATGGCGATGTGAACCTTGGGCCGTTACTTACGTGAGCTTTAGGACAAACGCAGGGTTAAAAGCAAGCAAACCAACAACAAAAAAAAACTATTACTACTACTATGCTATACTATTATGTTATTGTAAAATATAAATAAACTATATATATGTATATGTATATATATATATATATATATATATATATATATATATACATGTGTATATGTAAAATCATGGTGGTATTTGTACTGTCTTTATGCTGAACTGATTTGGAAAATCCTGTGATTTTCATGCTTTAATGCATGTGTGTGAGTGTTATGTGAAGTTCTCCTCAAGCTTGATCCGTTCGCCTCAAACCACGTCCTGACCAGCATGCCTCAGTCCGTCCACATGTTACCCAGCAGCCCTGTGACTCTCCATGTGAGCGAGAGGCCTTTATCTGCTGTGAACGGCCTCCTCTGTCCTCTCACGGCTGCGTCTGCGTGTGACTGCCGCTGTAATTGTGTTTGAGACGTCGGCGCCTCATGGCAGAGAGGACGAGGGTGGAGAGGAGAGACGGGGAGAGGGTGGGCGTATGCTATTGTGATCGGGGCGTATGACTGCTGAGAGCAGCAGCACTGACTGCATGTGTGGATCAGTGATAAACAGCAGGAGTAGAGAGAGAGAGACCGGCGGCCCCTGGAGACACACAGACAGACTGACAGACAGAGAGACAGACATGTTGAAATTCTGCACCACCCCTCGCTCAAGGTGTGTAGCTGTGAGTGTGTGTGTGTGTGTGTGTGTTTGTTCGCTGCTGGGTAGATGTCATCTGTTGAGTTTTCATTATATATATATATATATGTGTGTGTATATGTAAAATCATGGTGGTATTTGTACTGTCTTTATGCTGAACTGATTTGGAAAATCCTGTGATTTTCATGCTTTAATGCATGTGTGTGAGTGTTATGTGAAGTTCTCCTCAAGCTTGATCCGTTCGCCTCAAACCACGTCCTGACCAGCATGCCTCAGTCCGTCCACATGTTACCCAGCAGCCCTGTGACTCTCCATGTGAGCGAGAGGCCTTTATCTGCTGTGAACGGCCTCCTCTGTCCTCTCACGGCTGCGTCTGCGTGTGACTGCCGCTGTAATTGTGTTTGAGACGTCGGCGCCTCATGGCAGAGAGGACGAGGGTGGAGAGGAGAGACGGGGAGAGGGTGGGCGTATGCTCTTGTGATCGGGGCGTATGACTGCTGAGAGCAGCAGCACTGACTGCATGTGTGGATCAGTGATAAACAGCAGGAGTAGAGAGAGAGAGACCGGCGGCCCCTGGAGACACACAGACAGACTGACAGACAGAGAGACAGACATGTTGAAATTCTGCACCACCCCTCGCTCAAGGTGTGTAGCTGTGAGTGTGTGTGTGTGTGTGTGTGTGTGTTTGTTCGCTGCTGGGTAGATGTCATCTGTTGAGTTTTCATCTGGGTTACATCATGTTTGGCTCTGTCCTGTTGAGAAATCAGACTCAAACCAGTCTCTGATGGCGATTGCTGGTTTTACATGGATTCTGACTGCTCAGAGCTGGTTTAGATGGTGGAGCTGACGTCAACCTGGTAGAACATTATGGTCAAATGAGTTTAGATATAAGTGTGTGTGTGTTTATAAATAATAACCTGTTTTTAATAAATGATTTTATTGTATATTTTATTTATTTAATGTTTGTTTGTTTTAAAGAAATTAATACATAATTATTGGGGTGGACTTTAAGTAATTATCATTATTAATTAACTTTTTAATGTAATTTATTATTTTTACATTATTATCATTACTTTATATATTAATATATTATATATATATATATAATATATTAATATATATATTATAAGTATTTATTTTAACCTAATTAT